ACATGCATTTTTCACAAGAAAAAAAGGTTCTCTCCAGTTTTTGAAATCGAAATAAAATGGGATTGAAAAAAATAGAAAAAAATGCTTTATGTTCATGACGCTTCGTTTTGCGGAAATTCCACTTTGTGATGAATGTGACTTCCTAATTGGCTTCACATTGTTCATCGTCATCACCCCGATATCGTTCACCTTTTCTCGAGTTTCTATTGTTTTCCTGGCCGAGTTGCGGGCGGCTGCTGGCAATTTGTAAACGCAGTCAATGTGAAAATGTTGGGAAACAACCCTGCATAACTGACGGAAGACGACGCCGTTTGGTATGAGTCACACACCTGGGCTCTCGAAATTTGTGGAGGCGTTGAACGAGCAGAAAGTGGAGGAAAGAGACGACAAAGAAATGCAGAGAACCCGCTTTATTGTCGGGTTTTCGTTAGAGATCAATGCAAACGGATCAGCCAAAGTTCGGAGTGTTGGCGGAGAGTGATGGGGCGGGTGGCGGGTGTATGTTTGCGATGAAGAAGAAGTGGAAGGGGTGGAGACAGAGACGTGGAGATGGGCGGCGGCAAAAGCCGTCTACTTGACGAAGCTGCTCAGTACGGATCATGGCTACCACACAGAATGCCGCAGGTCATGGTGAGTTTTAGGCCATTTTTTCGCTTGGTTTACTATCTTTTGAGAATTGCTACTGTAATGACATGCTTTTCCTCAGCCATGGTGTATACCCACCTAGGGAGGTATACTATACCCATACTGGTACCCTAGTGGGTATAAAAATATTCTGCGCCATAGTTATATAGCCATTAGAGTATATCCTTCGGGGTCCTCTTTAGATACTGTATTACTTTGAAATTTTCATAATGAAATCTGACCAGTCGCTTATGGGCACTGCTAGATATAGCGCAGAGGAAATCCCACGGTAACCCGAAGCCTCCCAAATACGGGCTGCTTTTCCATTATATACTGTAGATGATTTCTATCAGTAAGAAATTTCGTATTCGTCATCAATATGGGCGGTTTAAACCATGGCGCCAGCAGCTATAGCTAATCCCAACGAGTCGCGCCACGCGTAAGAGTTTTGCTCAAAGTCGTGGACTCTTTCGAAAAGCCCATTCCGCTTGAACATCAAGTGGTTGGGTCCTTTATTTTTTATATTGGATTGTTTGTCCCCAAGCTGTATTGAGCTACGTTCCGGGCCACGTCGCAATCTCATACGGCCTCGGAGAGCCGCATCCTTGAGCGTCGGTTCCAGTCATCACCCTCTCTGCGGGGCATTGTAGATAGGCGAGTAACCCGCGGCCTGCCTGGCCACTGCGACATACTCGCCAAGAAGAAAGATAAACAGGATTTACCATCTGTGGTATCGTAGCATATCATTATCAACTGGATGGTGTAGTGGCAAGTGGCACGCTTACCACGCGAGCGGTCCGGGGATCAAATCCTGGGTCGTGAGTCGCCCGGGCCAACCAAGCCTTCCATCCCTCCGGGGTCGGTTAATTGGTACCAGACTTGTCTGGGAGGATAAAAACACTGACTTGTACATCGGCTGGCCCCCGCAAGTCATTGTATAGGCCACATCGCATTCAAATGCCACTACAATTTTGAATAGGAATAAAATGCGTGACTCATCCTATAAAAAGTTCATCCTTCTTCATCCTTATCTGTTTCAGAGGGAGGTCTCAAAATCGCCGCAGTCAACGTTCCTAGCACAGATCAGAATGAAAGACGAACCAGAGACGGTGAGAGCTCAATATTTAATTTTGTTGCATCACTCTTTCTTTGGTGGTCTAGTTTTTGATTCTTCTACTTTTTTGAATTGTTTTAAAAATAAAGTTGTCGTCAAAACGAAATACTATTTACGACTGGATATATGATATTTCTGTTACAATCTCTGAACGGCACTCATTGGGAAGGGGCACACAAAGAGTGCATTCAAAAACAGCTGGTAGATGACACTAGGACTAAGCCTAAGAGGGGAGGAACGCCAAGAAGAACAAAAATTGCTCACACCTTTTATCAAAATCCCTTTCTCTCCCAGAAGCTCAGTCTCAAGAGCTGTAAGTGGCTCGCTTGCCCGAATGTCCCCCCCCCTTCAGCGACATAAGCGCCACTGAACTTTACTTGCAAAGGATCTCTTCTCTTCTCCTGTTATAAGACTCAAGCTATTATATTTTTGGAGAAGGAAGGAGCTTTTTCTGTAGCTTTTGCCTCTGATTATCCTTTAATATTTCAGGAAGATGGACGTTGCGCCAGTTGAGACAGACAGATGCCATCGTTCCACTGCAGAGCGGTACCAATCAATTCGATTCGCAGAGGGTGAGTTGCTGATTGGTATTAGAGTGTTTAACCCTGAGTTTAAAGCTCACAATTCCGTGCCACCTCCGGACCAGGTGAAGGAGCTTTTCACTTGATCCTCGAAGTCGTGAAGAATCATAATAGACGCCAGAAGGGTGACGTGTTCGCGATTGATTAATTCTATGAGATGCTTTCCATTCCTTCTTTTTCGCTAACATCCGCGGCTGTATTCGAGAGCGTTTAAGAATCATACCATTCGGCTACGTATAGTAGAGAGATGTCCTTGTAGAGGGCAACACCCAGCGCACTCACAGTGGGGGTGGAATCCCGGATTGATGCCCGCTCAGGCCTGCCAAATCTATCCTCCAGAGTAGCTTATTGCTGCCTTTCAGGATTGGGAGGAAACGCCTCTGTCACATTCAGCTTCTCCCCACCCCTGAGTTATTGTACAGGACAACTCGCATTCAAGGGTCACTGCGGTTTTGGGTGAAATAAGAATGCATGGCGCATACCAAAAAAGGACTGATCAATGGCAAATGCTTTATCTTATTGGGTCATTTTGTAGAGAACGTCGTCTAATCACTCCGGTATATGATATGGATCACTCATAAATCCCAATGACATCCCCAGAAAGACCAGAAGTGTAGTAGTGGCTCGGTGAAGTTTCTAAACAGTTGCGCAGAGCAAGTAACGGTGTGATTCGTTGGACATCAGTTTGATCATTATGTTCCTCAGGAAAAAATGTTACTCTTTGCCCAGCTATAGGTCCTGGTTAGAACCGACATTTAGAGGGAAATCATTGTCCACTGGACTTTCTAGTTGAGAGAACAGGAAGATCGTTTAAGAATAGCTCCTATTGTATATCGAATGAGGAACGAACAGCTTTTTAGCATTTTTGACCTACTTTTATTGGGAATTGCCCAGAAAGCGAGAGATTCGGGTAGCGAATCGCAGGTCTGGGTCAAAAGTTTTGCCTCAAACTCAGCTTCTTGTGAAAACAGCAGCTGCTCTTTCATGAATCACAATTTGCGGGTGGAAGTGATGTAGGGCAAGTTACACGTAATTAACGCGAGCGGTCGGGAATAACATCTTGGGTGCGCTGGGAGAGGGCATGTCGGGCAGAGGGCCAACCAAGCCTTTCATCCCCCCGGGGTCGGTTAATTGGTACCAGACTTGTCTGGGAGGATAAAAATGACTTGTACAAGTCATTGTATAGGCCACATCGCATTCAAACGCCACTACGAATGTACAAATGGAAGTAGAATGCGTGCCGCATCCCAAAAAGGGATTGATCAACGGCAAATGCTTTATCCTTTATCCTTTAATTCACCGGATTCAGATAACCGTGCCCCGTAGTGATCACACTTGAAGTGAATCCGGTCGCTCGATAAGTGGCATTTTTTCCAATCACCTTTACATACACTTGATAATGCCGTGCGCAAACAGAGGCACTGGCATGTTGAAAGTCGCAGAGGTCGTTTTCCTCATCTTCCCGAAGAATTACATAAAACTCACGAAAATTACTCAGACGCTCAGCAGCATCGATTTTTGAAACAGTTTTCACAAAATAGGACATCAAGGATAAAACGACATCTAGGAGGAAGGATAAACGTTCGGAGATGGTGACTGAACGAGCAGCATCCAAATTTAAATTTGTCCGTGGCTGAAATTTCAGAATTACTCACGGACCATAAGGTCCAAGTCCATTTTGTAGTGGTGCCAGACGTTGTATCATTCTTACCGGTTATAAATAATTGCGGCCTTACAGGTTTATAGCATGAATACATTCGTGCAAATCATGATCATCATCGGTGGTGAAAATGGAGTTGGAGGGGCCACGAATTTCTGCTCTGCGGCTCTAACAATAAGGATGGAGATAAGGGCGATAGTAGAGCTAGGATAAAGAGCTTTGACAGCGCTTTCTTCTCAAGAAGCCTTCCGATAACGATCTGTTGAATAAGCTTGGAATAGCGATGAGAAGCGAACTTGGTCGCATACTTTGCCTAGCCCGAGGGGAGAGGAGCTCCACAGTGGGTGGAGAACTGAAAATGTGCGAAAACGGATCAGGAAGGCGATGATGGGGGCATTTAGCAGGCTATTATCAACAAGTTACTCTGGTTAAGCGTTTTATTAACGATTTTACGCTGATGGCTAGGAATATTCTTATCCTTATCTCAATCCTTGTCGTTAGAGTCGCATAGCAGAATGTTATTGGCCAATTCCAACTCCATTTTCACCCGGGATGAGCAATAGATACTACAGCAAGGCTCTGAGTGCTGCAATTCATTCGCAGTCCAGGTCCCTTCTCTAAACTTTTAATCAGTGCAACCCTTGACATCTCTTGGAGATTTCCTCTATTCGCTTGATACCGCTCTCAGACACCTCATAAGCTCTTTGCGGCCCCGATGGTCTTTTTTGTAACCTAAGGTAGACGGTCGTTGAGAGAAAGATCCCCTATTGCTGCTTTTCCCGGTTAATGGTGGGCGGTGAGAACTTCAAGCTCAAGATCCTCAAGATCCGAGTGTGTGCCCGGAATGCCCGTTTCTGTTTTGCGAATGAATAACACTTCCATTGGACAAGATCCCACAGTGAACCCGGAAGCGAAGCGTTGGCCGTAAAACCTTACCAATTTATTCAAAAAATTATGATAATATCCAGTGATATTCTAGTCAGACGGAAAAATGCCAGTAATACTCAAAAGAATCGATACGCTATAATTTGTGCTGCAATATTTATGAAGAACCGTGTGAATGACAATCACGAAGCTTGATTAATGCGTCTGAAAAATTTGGTGTCCGCAGCTGAGATTCTCGCCCCTCGGATAAAAGGTTTAGTGTCTCTCGACCCTTACCGATTGGATGAAAGGGGCGTTCATCTCCTTGGTGGGCCGATGATAGGTAACGTTAGAACTAAGCTCAGGAGAAGGGAGAACATGTCCAGGGATAACAACTACATGCTCTCAATTCTGCTCCCAGATTCCTTCTGCCTCCCTATTAAGCTCTTCCATGAATCATTCGAGCTATGAAAAAACCATGACGGCGGCCCACTCCTCCCTATACGACTTGGGTGGCCATGACACGGATATAGGCTCATTCAAGATACTTTTTGTTGAACGATTACCTGACATATTACATACAATGTGTCGTGGGTCCCTTTGGTCAACGTGTGATTCCTCCATTCAGGATATTATTAATTCACTAGCACCAAGTTCTCCTATATGTTGAAGCTTCATGATACTGTAGAAGCCTGTTCCGCTCACTTCTGCGGTGACTGCTCGAATCGCTGACAGCTTCAGTTTCTGAGCTGTGCCCTGGCAAGGCTACGTCCATGGGTCTCGGTAAAGGTCACATCTAAAGAAGGTCTTAGTCTCCTGGAACATCTGTTGGTCTTCAGATCTTGACATGGCGTAAATCGTATCGTATCATCACACAGATCTTCGAGCTCAAATCCTCTCGTCGCTTTATATGCCGTGATCGTTTAGCGGGAGCGCATACCCATATGTATACATGACCGATGAATACCCTCTATTATTGTGGTTGGCGTTCATCCGACCCGTTCCATAGTCCTTTTCGTACAGGTATTTTCATAGAAATAATTTATTTTAGATCTTTAATTTTTCTATTTGTCTATTTTATTTATGTTGTTATATTTATCTAGTGGTTAGTTTGATTTGGTTTGTGATTAATTTTGTAGGTAAAAATCACTGATCCAAGTTTATGGCAAGTGTTTATCTGCTCTGATTAGTTGGAGTAGGCAGTAGAGAGTGAATTCTTGTACTCCCTACCATGCCCAGTCCCGAGAAGTGGTGTAGTGGCAAGTGGCACGCTTACCACGCGAGCGGTCCGGGGATCAAATCCTGGGTCGTGAGTCGCCCGGGCCAACCAAGCCTTCCATCCCTCCGGGGTCGGTTAATTGGTACCAGACTTGTCTGGGAGGATAAAAAACACTGACTTGAACATCGGCTGGCCCCCGCAAGTCATTGTATAGGCCACATCGCATTCAAATTATCGCTGCGAATGTACAAATGGAAGTAGAATGCGTGCCGCATCCCAAAAAGGGATTGATCAACGGTAAACTATTTATCCCTTTTATTTTTTTTTATCCTACCCCTCCCCCCGTAGTCGTCTTTTGAGTGAATAAATTGTGAAAAAGAAAGCTGAGCTGCGATAAGGAAGTGAAAAATTTGTGTAAATGGAATTTAGATTTTCCTTTCTGTGTTGTCCATGTTATTCAGTTTGCTATGTTGTGTTGCGTGTCGTGACTGTAGTTTTCCATGTAGGGTAAAACTGGCTTTGGAATGCCGCGAAACACTCAGACGGCCGTCGAATTCGCTGACAACGGAAAACGCTGGGCAATCGAACAGCTGCGAGCCAGTGACGCCATCGTTCGGCTTCAATCCGGCACCAATCAGTTTGAAAGTCAAAAGGTCAAAAGCTAACATTGTCTCGTGTTTGTGTGCTGTTCCAAGTAACGTGGGGGTGTGTTGTGGTGTTGCATTGAGGGGACTTTCGTATTTGATTTTTCAAAAAATAGGGGTTTATGAAGGTGACCTTGATCGCTATTTTTTGACTGCTTCAACTGCTTCAACTATGATTCAAGGGTACATTAGGGTGTTTCGCTCGAAGCAACAGCCCCAGATGACATCGTATCGAACAACACATTCTGTGTGTAGAATAAAGTAACTCGGCTCGGCAAGTATGGCCTTTTTTCTTGGACACGTGACTCACCCTAATAAAAAGTTCAGCGTTTAGGAGTGGTGTTGGAAATGAGAAACAGAGGTGCGGGTTGAGTAGCAAAAGGTGAGAAGGAATGCTCTTCTCTGAGAGTCCATAGGGCAACGGGCTTTCCTTACAGCACTTATTTGAATCCCTGACGGTCTATTATGACGCCTACGTTTGAGCGAGATAATATGAACTGTGAGTTTTACCAGTGTTCTAATGGGAAATGAAGAACTGAACTTGGTGCTAGACCACATGTTTGGCTCTAGGTGCGTCGTAGGGGTATTTTCACCGCAGAACTCCAAAGATTTTTTATTCAGTAGGTCATGCCCGTAATTATTCCGCACGTCTCCTCTACTGCTCTGTTCATCCCAAACTGTGAAAGCCAAATACGGATTCAAATGTCTCCAAGTTTCCTTGAAAAAATTGAACGCGTGGCGCGTCATAGGAATGAATTTATCGACCCCAACCATCTTATCACGTGGAAACTTAACGTGCCCAATTTCAGGAATCTTTTTTATGGCCATTAACTCCAATCAAACCCGCCGACCCCTTCCAAGAATTGTGTGCCGCCGGAGCGGAAGAAAAGAAGTTCGGTGAACCCCGTCGTTTCCGTGCCGGCACCGCGTTTCTTTCACGGCTGCGATGTTTGCCGAAACGCACACAATTCGGCTTGAGCACACAATCGGATCGTTGAGGATTGACGAAATCCCATCGCTATCTTATCGACTTCGATTGGTTCTTAAACATCTGCAGCTGCGAGAATCGATTCACCGAGGGGTTGGGTGTGTCCAGTTGGAAGGTCGATTGTGCACAGGTTGCACTCTTGCTCGTGCTTCCTAGCCAATACTCTTTTGAAACAAAGCATACGGTAATGAGACTTCCTTGACTGCGCCATGCTCACAATCTTTATTCAGAATCGCAGTGTTGTCCATAATTGCAACAAATTGCAAGGGAGCGCCTTACGATTTAGGTGGTTTTTTTACACGCACACACTCTGGTGCTATCCAAGCAACGCTATAGGGAGGGTAAGGAGGTTGGCAGTGTTAGGAGGGAGAGTAGGGGTCGGTGGGAGCTTTGCCTGCAAGGATGAAGTATCGCAAATAGTATTCTTCATGGAATGTGTTCATCGGGGAACGAGGCACAGTTTGTTTGGCAAAACATCCGTCTAGTAAGTCAGATCTCATCCACGCTGAAAAATGGGTCGGGGATTGACGTTTCAGGAGTTAGCTCCAGTTTCGAACTGCTCGCATTGTCTGAACAGTCCAGCTAGAGTAAAGCTTGGCTGATAATAGCAATAATTGAAAGCCTGGATGCGCCATGCATTCTAGTTCTCTTCTTATTTAGCATTCTTGCGCGGAGTTGCATTGAGCTTGCTTTAGCAAAGGTTTTGCAAAATGGGCCACCAATCATCCTTTGGGGACTGCTGGTCCTATTCCCAACTACAGGTGTGGATGGTTCGATACAAGCTATTACATGGCTTGATCCGGATTACCTTTTTGTATTTCATATCATAACTCGACAAATATAAAGAGCGAGGGAATCTGAATAATAACGAGCATGAGCGTAATAATATCAAGATCGTACAGAGGCGACACTACACAATGAACAACTAGGGATGACCTCTCTTTCCGAACCACGTTGCTTTTACCTCCTTCCCACTCTTTCCTAGACCTTTTCTTTTTCATTACATCTTTCCCGTCAATTGTGGGGTCCGCCGAGGGGAAGAAGAACCTTCCCATGGCCTCTTCAACGCTCACCGGAACAAAAGATACGAGCAAGTCGACGTTGGTAGATTATCGCTAAGGGCAGAGCTAGCTTCAAGAACCAAGCGTCCGGCCCGAGTTATGATGAGAGCATTGCTCTAGGCTAGCTGGATATGATGGGAGACCTCAAACCTCCGTCCGCTCCTATTTATATAATGAGGGCGTTCGAGCGGCTGATGAATGAGGTCAGTTCGTAAAACGCAGGGGGCACAACCAGTCCTTTTGTCTCACGATGGCGTTCTCGGTGCCAATGAGTCGGACCTAATCAGTAGTTGGGCGTAGATTTTACCGGAATGGTCGCATGGCAGCACCTCGCGCCACACCCATATGGCGAAAATGATTCAATAACTCTATGCACTATTACAGGGTAGCCATAAATTACGGTAGCAATATAAATTGATTTGTTGAAATTCTATACACCATATGAACCACAATCGGAAAAACAACCGTACCGAGTGAAGATGAAGAAACGAAGAACAGGCTTACTTCTGGGGTTGAGTGGACTGATGGTCACTTGACAAACGAGCTAAATAACCGACGTGCCAGCGGTAAAGGGCGAACTCAGCCCGGTCAAGCATTCAGGAGCTAGGTCTTTCTAGGCTCATGGGCCTTCCTTTTGAGAAGCATTCCGGTGCTCTTGAACCTACACTTTAAATTACCTCTGTCTAATTTTGTCCTGCATGCGGCTCATGTTACCGTTCATACCCACCCTGGATATTTACTGTTCTTGTTGTTGCTTATTGTTAACTAAAGAGCTTGTATTTTAGGGAATGACCGGTTTTGGAATGCCACGTGACGTCAAAGGGAAACATCTGAAACGAATTTGGGAGCTGGAATTTCCGGAAGAGGCGATCAGCGATCAAGCTCCCACGCAGAATTCCACCCCAGTGAATGCACAACAGAAGTGAACAGTTCTTCTCTTTCATGGCTCATCACATCTAGTGTGTTTGACATCTCGCAGCACTTGTTGCATTTGATTGGTGCAAGGCCACGACGCCATTTCAACGTGGAATTGCTCTACTTCTAGCTTATCGAGGCGTCGAAGCGCCCTGCCATACCCGTTTTACATGGTGATTCTTCACGTATTATTTTTACATTCGTACAGCTTTTAGACCTTACTTGATCACTTTCCCTATACGCAATACCCGTAGTTGTATTCACTTACTGGAATAATGTTTCGTAATTGTCTATTTTGTAGCGCTGAATTACGGTAACCATCTTTCTGTGCAACTGTGTTGGTACGAGTAACGAATGAATTGTTCTATTTTCGACGACATTTTTGGACTTTACCGTAGTCTTGCGACGCTCAACGTGGAACTCCAGCTCAATTTAAGCCTCCCAACATTCACGAGGGGTCCTGTGAAGAGCTATCGATACAGCGCGCAATGTGAGCTCATGGAAGACAAGAGCTGGTCTCGCTATGCAGTGAGGCTCATTGAAAACAAGACCTGACGTATGGGGGCATCCACAAATGAATCTGGGGCGTCAGATGGGCACCCGTCCTTGAAATTGCTCTGCCAGCCACCCACGCAGGGTTTTCCTAGCCATTTTCGAAGCTATGGCTGCAGGTCAACTCCACTACTCGATGACAAGTGATTAGTTAGGGTGGAAGCAGACCCCTTTGATGCTACTGGTTTTCCAGAGTAGGAATATTCACAAAAATCTGTAGATACTACACAAGGGCATTCGATTCAGGGGCAGGAAATAAACAAGCAAACAAACAAACAACCCATTTGACAAAGGAGTTATAGAAGAGAGTATTAGATATTCGTCAACGCTGCAAAGAACCCAATCAGGTATTGAAAGAAGGGTTTCCCTTTTGTCAACTCCCTAGGCACTCACTTCCAGGTCATCGACTTTAGGAGGGGGAGGAGTGGAGTAGCCGCGTGCCCGCACGATCGCTTACCCATTGGACCACATTCCACTTGCAACAAATAGCCCGGACCACCATTTAGGCCCCCTGGTTGTTACTGGTGAACGTCATGGATGCTCCAGAAAGTAGCCGCACGCCGTGATGCCATGCATGCGGCGCACACAACACTTGATGTTCGATCACTCTGCCGCAGTGGTCCAGTCATGCGTGTTGGCGGAAGCGGTAGCTATGAATTTCTTCCCCAACTCCTGCGGCCATTATTCTTCTTGGTAACGAGAAACCAACAGATCGATGCCATAATGTCTCATGAAAAGTGGTCCCATAATTCATCCCAAAGGCGCACCCACTGAGCACAGAAGAGTTGTGGCTTAAACTTTTCATTTTCATTTTTGTGAAAAATTTTTTACAAGTCTCCTCTTAACCGAAAAACTCCGTGAGCAGCGTAGGAGAGGGGAAAAAACAAAAATGGTGAGAACAAAAAAAAAAAAAAGTAAAAATAGTTTTTAAGAAAATCATTTAAACAAACCTAAAAGGAACTGAAAATAAGTTTGTAAACATTATAAACCCAAATTGTGCCTAGATTGCGTAGGTTGTAGCGTACATATTTGTCCGGTGTCCGACGAGGGGTGGAGTTCAAATCCTTCAAGGGCGAAGGTTTCGTTCATAAACCCCGGTTTTCGTTCTTGTGAACAACATGTAGCGCGTTAAGTGATTAAAGCCGTTCCTTTCTCAGAGTTACTCGCCCCACATATCTCCTCCCACAAAAAGGTACACCTCTCCCGAAAATATTTTTACACATACGGTGTGGCCAAGTCATTAAGCCGTTTTTTTGAAATATTGGTTGGAAAACCAGGAGTTGAAAGATTTTCATTTTCTGGTTATATTTTATGGGCTACTTATTCACTGGCATCTTCATCTCTTACAGGAGACCTCCTGAGTTGTGTGAACCATGCCCACTCACCGGAACTCTAACTTAAAAAAGTGCTGCCCTTCCGCAGGATCTATTGCCCCGGGGAGCTGTTAACAGAATCGTGCGGTTGCCGAGTCGCCGCCTGCGACCATTTGTGCGGCGTCGCGACGCGGCAGTTTTTCTGAGCGTGAGATTCTTGAATTGGACGGTTGGAGCAGTCTTGAAGTTGAATATCAAACAAACGGACCTGATTGGGGTCCCTGTAACATTCAACTTCAAATAACGCTCACAGAAACTCGTCCACTGCAGTTGCGGCGTCGCGGCCCAACGACGAAAATTAGCGCGGGAAAATCCCCGGACGAAATTCCTGTTGACAAGGGTACACCCATTCGCCCCAAGGTTTATTAGCGGCCGCTTCGTCGCCCACCTCTCTTGCACCACCACTCCCTCTGTTTTTGCGAGTGGAATTTCGCGGACCGGCAAAAAACTGGCACACATGGTTGGTGGTTCATGCACTGAATGATGGAGTGGTTGAGTTTCGTTGAAGCAACACCCCGAGATGAAATCTGTGAGGTCTCTGCGGTCGATAATGGAGTTTTGGACGCCGAACCTGAAGAACTGAAAAAAAAAAACCAAAAAGCATACCGTTTAACATGTATTCCCTCTTTTTTTTCCTTTGAAAAATAAGGCAGCGGGCAGGGCCAGGAGAAACTGTGGCAAACAACTTGCCCTGTCAACGAAATTCAAAACAACACTCCCTACTTGAAGTAGGCATTAAGACGCCGGAAAGTCCCCGTTGCCCGTGTCCAATGGGTTTTGCGCGGACGTAAACTCCGTCCCAATTAAGATTAAAAAGTAGCCCGCCACCAACGTTCAAATATGGCGACCAGATGGAAATAATTCTGTAAATACAGGTGAGCTAAACTCCAAATCCACCCACTAAATGGATTCTTCGACGCGGACTGACTTCCGCTTAGGCTGTTGCTTGAAGAACTTACAAACTTACACTTGTTATGTAGTTATTTTTTTTTTGCAAAAATTAGAGTAGAATTAAGCGTGGCAGAAGAACTGGCCTCGAATTGAAGACATAATTTATTGCACACCTTTGTTTAGATCTCTGTGAGATGTTAGGAGATAGAAAACGTTGAAGTAAAATTGCAAAATGTTAGTGAATACAAAAGGGAAGGCAGACGTCGTGCTGAATACCGCTGTGTTAATTCTACCGAAGGGTATTAGGCCATTTGATGAGCGATGATGGTAATGTTGTTAAAAGAGTTTTTGAAAGAATTGAAGAGATCCTGAATGGAAGAACTATGCATGGCGCATGCCAGGTAAGGGGTTACAAAAGTCTCACGAATTCTGCCTTCAAGACAAAAAAAAACGAGTCATGCATCCAAAAACCGCCTACTCACTAGATCAAATATGATCATATTAACGTCAACAAAACCAACAGCAATGAATAATTAAAAGGGTTAACAAAATAATAATAATAGAAGTGATATAGTAATAGCAAGTATTTCCATTTGAAGCAAAACAAGTGAGTTTCGTATCACTCCGGGTAGCAGTTACCATTACTAAGGTAGTAACCCTTACAACACTCTCCTGCACTGTCTCGTATCACAGCTGAAGTGGGAGGATCACGTGGAAGTTTATTGCCTTTCCAACCCAAGTGAATTGTGAGAAGTGCTGTCGGACACTCGTATTTAAACTTCCTGAAAAACATTTTCTCATCATCAAAATAAACTAGAATTGGAAACAAACCACTACGATGCAGAATTATGAGCTTGTTCGAAAAGTTTCCGCTGATTTTGAACCCCAAGGTTAAAAGCGCAAGTCTCGCTCCACACAAATGCTTTTGATCGGAGTGGAAACTATTACAATCTCTGAACCTTTGTCCGAAAGAAGAGAGTTTGATAGCTCTGGATGTTGGAAGTGCTGACACTCTTTAGCGCTTCGGAGAACGCTCAAAGGAAGGTGCACCGAACAGTGGTAAGGCCTGCGATGCTCTACGGCAGCGAGTGCTGGCCCCTGAACAAGAATCACGAAAGGCAGCTTCACTCTGCCGAAATGAGGATGCTGAGATGGGCCTGCGGCTGGACGCGACTGGACAAGGGTCAGGAACGAGCGGTCATGCAGACTGCCCCTGTCCAGCTGAAGGTACGGGAACAGCGTCTGCGATGGTATGGGCACGTGCTAAGGAGGCCACAGGATCATCCGATAAGAACGGCGATGGACTTCGAAGTGCAAGGCAAGCGACCGCGAGGAGCCCCAAAGAAGATGTGGAAAGACGCAATCGGGAAGGACCCTAACAGAGCAAAGTGGCGATGACCGAGGGTGTCCCCCAAGAGGCCATCGCGCGCGAAGGAAGAGACGCAGATGCGGCAAAGGACGAGTCGCAGCGCGTGCTGTGCGATATGAGACGTAGTATGGTACACTCTTTTAACCTGACGCCTAACCGCTACAGTATGCGCTGCGACTCGTCCTTTGCCGCGTCTGCGTCTCTTCCTTCGCCGCGCGACGGGCCTCTTGGGGACCCCGTAGTGAGAAAGAAGAAGAAGGATGTTGAAAGTGCTGGAGTTCTGTAGGCGAAGAACTCGGCGAAGGTCGTTTCTATCATGTTAGGTTTCAATGCTCAGTCTTTCTAAGAAGACGTTCTTGATAGATGGAAAAGTGACAGTTGGTAAGCAAGAGGTCCAGGTTTGTGCAAGATGTTCGCAGCACAGTTTGTAGTGCAGCTGGTTCAAGTTGTGCACGGCTAGAACTGCGAGTTGGGGCTGCACAACTGTGGGGAGAAGAGTCGGTGGCACCCACTCGTGGACACACTTCTATGGACGTTAGATGGACA